GCTTAATGTTTGTGGTTACCCTGGGTCCCATTAGAATGTAAGCTCCTGGGACAGGGGTCTGCCCACCTTGCTCTCTGCTGTCACCCTAGCACCTAGAACAATGCTTGGCAATTAGTAGGCACTCAATAAATATTTGTTGGCCCTGGCCGGGTAGCTCAGTTGGTTAGAGCATCATGCCTATATGCCAAGGTTGAGGATTCGATCCCTGGTCAGGGCACATACAAGAATCAACCAATGAATGCATAAATAAGTGAAACAGCAAACTGATGCTTCTCTCTCCCTTCCTCTCTCTAAAAATCAATAAATAAGACATTTAAAATAAATATTTGTTGAATTAATGAGTGACCCTTGTCCACAGCAATTGCTCATACAAAGCAGGACCATCCTGACAAAATCACCCTGGTCTCTAGCACCATTATGTCAGTTCCCAGAAACATCCTTTCACCCTTAGCTAACAGTGGCTATTCCCTAGCACTTGACCCTTGGCCAGGCAATGAGACCCTGGATGCCTTAGCAACATGACTCCATCCAAGCAACACGACCCTCATCGTCATCCCAGCCCCATAGCAACTCGAGATGCCCAGGCAGCTCCTGGTGTCCTGATCCCAGCCCTAGGGCCTGACAGAGCAGAAACGCCATGGCCTCTGACTCAGGTCCCAGGGCTCTTCCTTTAGGCGCTCCTTCAGCGCACTGAGCGCCTGCTGCCGCCTGGGTTGGGAGGTGCAGTGCCATCCCCTTGACCTGCCCCAGGACAACAGGGCTTACCCCTGTCCCTGGTCCTAGACGATGCGCTGCAGCCAGGGAATTGGGGGACGGGAAGTTGGTTTAAAGAAGCACGACGTAAAAGGAAAGGGGAGAGAGAGAGAGGGAGGGAGGGAGAGATGGGTTTGTTGTTTCACTTACTTATGCATTCATGGGTTGATTCTTGTATGTGCCCTGACCGGGGATCGAACCTGCAACTTGACCATCGGGAGGATGCTCTAAGCAACTGAGCTACTTGGCCAGGGCCTAGTATTCTATTCTGAATTTTAAAAAACCACATACTCATTGTAGAAATCTTATAAACTACATAAAATCGTTTTTTAAGTGACAATAAAAATCACCACACTCAGAAATCATTCCATCTTGGGGTGTTACCTGCTGGCCCAGTTTCAGCAGGCGGTGATCAGAGCAGAGACGATTTGGGGAGACGTGCAGGGAGTTGGGAGGAGACAAGATATATTCATGCACCATCTAAATAACTGCACGGGAAGATGTGAAGGTCAGTCTGAAAGTGGGGATTAGAGGACCTGATCACAGAACGCCTTAAGTGCGAGGGCTCGGTGAGCAGTGGGGAGCTGCGGAAGGCTTCCAGGCAGAGAAAGGCTGTGTCTGAAGCCCGGCTTGAGAAAGATTAACCTGGTGCTTAATCAGGAACAAGTTGGAGAAGGGAATGAATGCTGGGAGTCGAGAGCATGTAGAGTTTATTACTGTAACATGGGGGGGTCCATGAAGTAATTCTGAGCTAAAGAGACAATAATAAATAAAAGGGGAAATACAGGACCCACACTTATGGAGATAACCAAGTCCTGCACACCATGCTAAAGTTCGACTAGCTCTGCGTGTGTGGTTTTAATATCCTCTGTTCTGGTCTTGTTTTGGGAGAGCTAGACTGTTGCAACATTTAAAAACATCAGTTTTGGCAATTCTCTCATCTTAATTATGAAGTAGTTCTCTTTTTTGGAGCAGAACACAAGAGAAATAAGAATCAGTTATGTTCATAAACTAAGAGGCTACATTGCGCAAAGATCAAGTTTACACAAGGATTTGAACAAAGGCCCTCATAAATTTAACTTTTTTGCCAAAAATAAATGGGTTATAAGGATTTATTAAATGTAACATTTTTCTTGACTTTAATTGTTGCTTTAAGTTTATGTTTCCTATAAATTATACGACTTAGAAATAATAGACAATTCAGCAAGTTGTTTCTGTTTAAATTTAATTAAGGGGGAAATGACGTTAAGATGACAGAAGTTGAGTATTGTCCTTACATACGTTTAATAAATGGCCCGAGTTGGCTTTGCAGTTTTAGGGACTGTCTGTCATCTTATCCAGGACCCTAGTGGCTGATGATATTATAGTTCCTGCTGAAGATAAAAGAGCCATTTAAGAGCAGTTAGGAGATTTGTTTGAGTGGGAACTCTGGCTTCTTTGTGCAGATCTGACANGAATACGGGCGCCCACAGGGCAGGGCCGGGCCGAGCCGGGGACGGCGGCCGGGGCACCAGGACTAGCGAGAAGCAGCAGCGGATGAACCGCAACGTCCACCTGGCCAAGAAGATCGTCCCCAAGGATGGCAGTGTCGTGAGTACCCGAGTGCCCGCCCCACACCGGACCCCCGCAGCTGCCCTGATGGTGCTGGGCACTCACAGCCCATCTGGACCAGCTAAGATTCTCAGCAACTGCCTTGGAAGATGAACCCTGGCTCCATTTCCTACTCAAGACCCCCAAACCCAGGGGTCTGGTCCACCCAGACCCCTGCCCCAGCCAGCCAGGCACAGTCCTGCAACCCCGGTTCCCCACCCTCCCTGGAGACCTCCCTCAACTCCACCCTGACCCTTCTTTGAAAGTGGCCCCAGGTCATCACCCAGACCTGGCTGCCAGGCTCCCTTCCTGCCCAGCCCCCTGGCCCCTCTCGTGTTCCAGGTGCACACACCGCTCCTGAAAGAAGCACCTTGGGCAGAGAACCTCCCTAATCGGCTCTGGTCTGGGCTCTGACCGTGACCCCACAGCGCCTCCCCCTGACAGTCAGGCACTCCTAATTCTCCCAAGTCCTCCAGGAGCGGCCTCTCCCGCCCAAGGTTTCCCAACCTCTGACAGTCCCAGCACTGCTGGCATTGGGACCTGACTATTCTCAGAGCACTGTGGGGTGTAGAGCAACACCTTTGGCCCCCACCCACTTGATGGCAGGAGCACCCCCAATCTTGACAACCACCGATGTCCCCAAACATCATCCAGTGTCTACCAGGGTGTGGAGTGGACAGAATTATCCCCAGGTGAGAACCACTGGCCCAACCCTTTAAAACAGCAGGGGTTCCCAGATCTCAGCCTGAGGTGAGGTGGAGAGGGAAGCTCACCACTGACCAAAGACTCTACTGGGTGCTCCAGACAGGCCACAGACCCAGCCTGGGGCCAGAGCCCCCTGTCTGCCAGAAACGGAATTTGAGCTGCAGGTATCACTTAAACTCTCCAGCAGCCATGTTGAAAACACAAAAAGAAATGGGTGGCATAAATAAAATATAAAATAAAATGTACTTTATTTAACCCATGTTGACCCTGAGCAGATTATACCTGCCAAGAAGGAATCCTTATTGGACCCAATTTCATAACCAGAGTCTAGAAGCCATTGTTTGTAGGGACCTTTCAGCCAAGCTGTATATCAGAGAAAGGCCTCAGATTAGGCTGGGCCTCCTGCACTGTGCTCCTGCCACAGAGTCGCTTTTATAAGAGAACTCCTAGGATCGAAATTTGACCAATAGGACTGAGATGTTCCCCATCCAATTGGAGCTGAGCAACTATATCCTCATTTGCATCTTTACTGACCAATCGGAGGGTTTCATTCCAACTCTTCCATACAGTGCTTTTTCTGAGAACTGACCAATCAGGAATGGGCTGGAATTCTTATTTATATAAATAAGCTTTACCTCTGTCTCCCTGTAGGGCACTTTCAGTTTCCATTGAGGACTGTTTCCCTGACTAAAGTCTTCCTATAACTGAGTTAAGTATCTTTTTTTAAGTTGAAATTTAAAATTACATCCTTGACTGGTGTGGCTCAATTGGTTAAGCATCATCCTATGCGCAGAAAGGTCACTGGCTCAATTCCTTGTCAGGGCACATACCCAGATTTCAGGTTCCATCTCCAGTCAGGGTGCATCTGGGAGGCAACTGATCCATGTTTCTCTCTCACATTGATGCTTCTCTCTCTCCCTCCATCTCCCTTTCTCTCTCTAAATATATATATATACATAATAAAATAAAAATGTATTTTTCAAAAAAATTTACATTTCAGGTGGTCAGTAGCAGAGAGTGGCTGGTAGCTCTGCCCTCCCCTAAGTTTGTTGTGTAACCTACCTGGCTGGTCTCTGCTGGGGTGGATCATCCAGGGTGCAACCAGCTGGTCTGGGGCAGGAACTTGCACACAGCGGGCCCAAAGCCAGCTCTGGTGCCCATGCCAAATCCTTCTATTTGAATTCATCACCACCACCCACTCTTTCAAAAGTAGACCACATTCAGGCCACTCTTTCTCTTCTGTACCAGCTCCCAGAGCCTCAAACTCCTTTCATCTCCTAGCATAATCACCTGGCCATGTGACCCAATACCCACAAGAAGCCCAGTGGTGGGTCCCTGAGCCACTGAGCCCACCAGTCCCCCAGCCAGGGCACCATCAGCAAGGAGCTGCTGCTAAATGACAGCATGGCCTGAGGTAGCCACAGGGCCTGAAGTCAGGGGTCAAGTTTCTAGGGCCCTCAGCCCCACCACCTCCTGCTCAGGTCCTCCTGCCTCAGGGTGATGGAGCCAGCACCCACAAATCTGCTCTCACCAAGATGTCCCTCCCGGCCCTGTGGGGAGGTGAGTGGCCTGAACACCCTCAAAGCTCTCCCCACTCTCACCTGTCTGTCTCCCTTGGAGTTGCTCACCTGAGCCCTCCTTACCGGGTGGGGGACCAGCTGCAGTCCCTGGGGAGCTTCTACGTACTTCCATACAGTCTGAACCCAGATGTCACCACTCAAAGCGTCTGCTCCCCTTGACACTCCTAATGACTTAAATCTCAGGTCTCCAGATGGCCTGAGGAGCTGAACAGCATACAGACCCCAGCTCTGACAGCCATAGGACAGCCACCTACCACCACCTGTTTTGCCAAACTTGGGTTCAGCTTCACAAACAGATTCACCAAGCAATGTTGTCTTCACAGGCATTCTGGGTTAGTTATTTGGGGTCCTGACCCCTCAGCCTGGTGCCCTGGGTATCACCCCTCCTGCCATGCCCTCTTAGCTTAGCTCAGGGGCCAGCAGGGGTTGGAAGACCTGGTGGACTGAAACAGCCCTTCCCACTCTAGAGCCTTCTCTGTGGTTACTTATTAAACAGACCTGCCCAAGCTTCCACCATCCCTGAGAACCACCAAAACATGGAGTGATCCCAAGGAGCAGGATTTGGGCTGACATTTCAGGTTTGGGGTCCTCAGCACCACAGCTGGGTGGGGGACCGGGCAGGCGTCCCAAATGACCCAGCCCTGATCTCACAGCTGTAGCCCACTCCCAAAGAAAAAGCCTCAAGGCCCCCAACTGACCAGTGGTGCCAGTGAGGGGAGCTTGCCCAGACTGGTGGGAAGGATGTTCCTGGAGGGAACAGGCATCTTTAGGGCTCCCTCTCCTGGACACCTTCCTTGGCCTGAATCCCCTGCAGAGCACCAGTGTTGTTGTGGGGCCATGGAGGCCAGGATGTTGGGTCTTGGAGAGGGGGCTGGGACCCTCTGTCCCAAGAAGACTTCCTGTAGAGGCCCTGTGAGGACTTCCTCCCTGGTGGGGACAATGCCAGGAAGGGGGATCTGAGGGCAGTTTCTGCAGGAAGCCCAGGCCAAGGGTTGGGGGGAGGGAGAATTGGGCAAGGAACTCAGCCCCAAACCAGGCGGCTCCCATGGACTCAGTGTTCCAGGAACAAGACCACATGTCCCAGATGCAGGTGTGAAATCGGTTCAGTCCCCAGCTATTGCTGTCCTCAGGCTTCCAGGGGTTCCCCCTCACCCCTCCCTGGGGTCCACCCAGACTTCTGCTCCATCCCTCTCTTCTCCCCCTTCCTCTCTCTCTCTCTACCCCCTTCTTTTCCCTTTTCCTAGGCTCTACCTCTGCCGAGAACCTTCTTCATCTATTCGGCCCACCTGTCCTCAGGGTGGTGGCACTGACCACCTCCCCCCCAGATCATGGGGTTCTCCTCAGTGCTCTCTTACAGCGGTGTGAGTCTGAATGCGGAGATTCACCCATCACAGATAGAGCTCAGATCTGGGAGCCTGGGAGAGACAGCAGTGGGGAAGGCAGGACCCAGAGAGCTGGGTCAGACTCTGCAAAGGGCCTCAGCTACCAGGGCAGCAGGAAGTGGAGTCAGGGCTGGGAAGAGGCCCATTCACCAGGCCAGCTGCCCCCAGCTGGGGTTAAGGGCCCAGCTTCCCGAGAAGGGCCCACGCCTCTGGGCTGGGAAGGACCGAAACTTGGGAGTCTACCTTCCTGTGTGGCCTTTCCCGGCACCAGGCAGGAGGGGGGGGGGCGGCAGGAAGGTGGAGTCTGAGTTCGCACACATGTACCCTTTCCTCTTGAGGCCTCAGTTTCCCTCTTATGCTCCCAGTCCTTCCGAGCCTCAGTTTATCCCCTCTGCTCCCAGCCCCTCCTCTTGGGCCTCAGTTTCTGCCCCCGATAAGAGGCTGAGGAGACACAGGCAGTGCAGTGGTGCTTAGAAATCCCATCTCCTGGCTGCCCAAGGGAAACAGACACAGACCACACCTTGAGTTTGGTTCAAGACAAACCAGGATGCCTCCGTTCCTTTCTTCCTGTATGCCTGCTGTGACGGGGTCTGGGGTCAGAGGGGGCCATGTCAGACAAGAGACCCCCAGTACAGGGGAGTTGAGGGCTGCGAGGAAAGCACACCTGGATTAAGTGAGATAGAGGAGAGAGCTGTGGGAAGGTGGTTGGGGAAGACTCTAAGATGGCAACATTTGGGCAGAGACTGAGCAGGGTGAGGACACAGCCATGCAAAGGCCCTGAAACTGTCTGATCCCGAAGGGTGCTGGCCAGCAGGGAGAAGGTTTTATGCCTTAGGAAGCCCTGGGGTGTCTGTGTGCTCAGGAAGTTGTTTCTAAAACAGCTCTGGGCACTGAGTGGTGATTGGCTGGGAAGGGCAGTCCGGAAAATGGGAACTAGGCTGAGGGGCATGGAGCAAAGGGTGGAGGATTCCGGAGTTGGGAAGATGAGGTTCTCAGGACTGGCTGATGACTGCTGTGATGGGAAGCGTGGCCAGGGTCCCTTCCCAGGCCTTTCCTGTGGACTCCAGACCCAAGTCTCCCTGTGGAACAGAGTATGGAGGCACCCCCATGCCAGGGGCTCCCAGGCTTCCACCAGCCTGCCCCTTGACAAAGGGGAGATATGCTCAGAGGTAGGTCGTGACCTGTCCCAAGCACAGGTGGGCCTGCGCTCCCTCACCCCAGGAGTCCCCACCACCCTAAAGGACCCTCTCCCCTAGGAGGTTCCATCGTGAAAGACCTTCACCCCCCAGGAACCCTCCCCCCCCAGCACCCCACGCGGGAGCTATAAGGCCACTGCTCTCCACTGACCCCGCAGGCTGCTCAGGGCAGTGAAGGCCGAGACTTGGCCAAGGAGACCCGGCGACTGGGCACGCGCGGGTGGCGCCAATCCTGGGCCTCCTTCGGTTTTCCATTCACTTGACCTCAACTGTAACTTTCCTCTGGCCCCATCTTCTAATCTTTCCGTCCCTAAAAGTGAGACCTGGACTTGGCCCAGACCTTCCCGCTTCATGTGTTGTGACCTCCGCCCCCCTTTGGCCCCCAGCCCCAGCCTTTCTGTCGCCTGCAGGGTCGGGGGTCAGGGTGGGAAACCCCCTCGGGAAAACCCCTCGGAACAGCTGAAGGAGGGGGCAGAGAAGCAGGGTCCTGAGGCAGCAGGAAGGAACTCGAGGCACCACTATTTAAGCCACTTTCCTCCAGGGCCGTGGCCAGAGCAAGTGGCCCAGCATGGAACGCGGCCTAGCCTTCCTGCTCCCCCTTTTCATGGGGCTCCTCCAGCAAGGCAGCGGTGAGCAGGGGAAGGCGATCTGAGAGGAGAGGAGGCTTAGGCTTAATAGAGGGGATCGGATGTGGAGGGAGTTCGGAAGAGGAGGGTGTTACGAATTTTTTTAAAGGGAGTTCTAAAAAGGGGAGGGGGCTTAGG